CTTATGACATCTCAACAACAGTATCATAACTATCACCATTACTACTATCATTATTAATTATGACTATTATAATTATTATTATTGCTTTTGTAATCAAAATATGTAAACGAATCGAAGATTAAAAAAAAGAAATCTTCTCTACGAGGTACTCATCCGTGATCCTTGATCTTGAATACATTCAGTGGATAAACTTTTCCTTTCAACTAACAGCTCAGTTCGCTATTCCTATGAATAAGCCACCTTGTATCTCATATGAAGGTCCAGAGAAAATTTTCCACCTTTGCTACTTGACAGTAAGCACCGATATAGCTCCCAAAAAAAAACGTCTAAAAAGCAATGATATCAAAGATTAAGCTGTGATCGAAAATGAATTGAATTGTAAGGGTAACACGGTTATGAAAAATGTTTACCTCTGAGTGTCGAGTCTCCTAGCACATCAAAGACGTTTTTCCAACAACCGTACAGCAGATACTAATCCAAATTTAATGTTTCACAATATTTGTCATATACCATACACCAGATATAACCATAAATAACACCAATATTGCATAAGGCACTTTGAATGACTTATCCGTATAATACGATAAAATTTTGTTCATTCATACAGCCGATATCTATTCAACCTCTCACAAAATCTCCGCGGACCCCGTCCCGAATTCTCTGGTGTCTTTTTTTCTTCCGCGCGCAAAAAGTATTCGTTCGACTTACTTGTATTTGGAGCCACATATAGGACGATATTAAATAGTAAAATGTTGAGTACCCGTAATTAAGAAAATATCGTAACAAAGAAACATAAATTTTTGAATCCGTTTGTAAAGATCCACTCTGTATGTTTACTTTCCTTCTCTATCATACTTCAGAGAAATGCAATTACATCTTACTCCAAGCGACATTATCAGAATCACGTTCCAAAGAATCAAAACCGATTCCGTGAATTGATATTTTCTAGTATGTGTTCCTGAGCTTGTCGGATATATTAAATTTATGAGAGAAAAGTGCTTTCCCGTTCCGAGAAATGTAATACCAATCTTTCTCCTCGACTCAAATTTAATTAAATTCAAGAGAATACAGCAAGGTTTGAATTCCTGCGTCTTTTTTTATTTTGAAACAGGAATGGAAGTCGAATGGCGTGAAATTACAAGAAATGCCACAGGAATTCTGTGTAACTTTTCTGTCGGAAAGTATTATTGGATGTTGCTGTGATTGAACAGCAAGCAGGTTCTCTTTTTGGCCTTAATGATAAATTCATAGAAAATCATTGGATATCAAATAGATTCAAAGAAATATAAAAAACTACTTTCAGTGAAGAAAATATGAAAAGATGAGAATTGATTATCTCAGTTTATCAACGACACCTTGCTCCACAGAGCAATTTACAAAACATCAACACGCATTTCAGGCGTTTTTAGTTCAGAGCCAGAAGTAGATATATTTAAAAAACATAGTGAAATATATTTCTGTTCAGTAACAAGTATAGAAGATTATTGTTGTGAAATTTTAGATATATTACCATTAAAATATTTGAGTTTCAAATTTTCATTAATTCTTCAATATATTTTCATGATTTGATCTCCACAAACTTTATTTGAAAAATATATATCACAACATGTTTCGTTAACACAGTAGCTTTATCAAGTGATTTGAATACTTCAAGTTGCTTACACTAATATTTATATACTACAGGTAACCATAATTGGGACTACTCCAAAAAAATCACCTGAACCTCTACCTGATGTACCTCTTCAATTATAATCACCTGAAGCATATTACCTCAGATGTACATCAATAATAATTCTTTCTCGGTTTTAAAAAAAAAGTTCAATAATGGTGACTTATTCAAATCCAGTTAGTCATTAATCAGAATGTCTGAATTCCATTGCTTCGAAATGATTCAGTTCCAAACTTTCATTTTCTATGTACAAAATTTCGAACTCTTCGTTGAAGATATGACTTTTTTCTAGAAGATGATTTGAATATGTTGAGTTTGTTGTCTTATATACATAGCTCGTATGATGTTCCTGGATTCGATTCCTAAATGTTTTGCCAGTTTGACCAATATACGCCTTAGGACACGTTCCACACTGCAATTTATATACTCCTGATTTCTAGAATTTGGATGTTTTGTCCTTTTTATTTTTAACTAACTTCCCCAACGTATTACTTGTTCTATATCTCGTTTCCTCAATAATGAAGCCACTTTTTCTGTTGTTCGTCCAAAATACGTTGAAGCTCTAAAATTTTGAATATCCGCCTTATCGATAGAAAACACGTCTCTAATCGCTTTTGCGAAAACTTTCTTGAAAAGTTTTTTTATTAATTCGGCTTTAAACCCATTGTTAACCGCAATTTGCTTGATGATATTGAGTTCTTCATTGAAATTATCTATTGAATAATCTGTGAATCATGCTATAATAAGCTGCTACTTAGTGTTGATAAGGATAGGTAGAATCGTAATGTATAGTAATATCAGTATAGGACGGTTTGTGATAAATTGAAAAATCACGTTTGTTGTTCATTCTACTAATTGTGGAGTCTAAGAAATTGATTGAGTTGTCTGCTTCAATAGTGAATCTAATGTTTTCATGAATGTGTGAATCTTTCAAAGAAAGGAAGAAAGCAATCAATTCAAAAAATCCACTCCATACAAAAATCATGCAAGGAAGTAACTTTCAGACACAAACTGGAAAAAAAAAGATATCGAAACAGCTATTTTTATATAAACATTGAATTACACGAAAGAAAAATACTTTCTAAACAAATAATTCTGTATGATCGCTGAATTATACGAAAAACATTTTTTCATTTCGTTTGTATTCCAAATATTCGTAAAGGAATTGAACCAGATGTCATTAGCAGGATTCCTTCACAATATAAATGATGAAAGAGGTAAAATTTCATTCACATGGAACACTGTCATTCTCACTGGTAGACACCCGGATGTTTCGCCGTAAGATACTTACCTCATTGGCTCTTTAGTATCAAATACGGATAACATTATAAAAAACCACTCAATTCGTTCATTAAATCACGACTTTTTGTCACGGAATGGGTCGAATCCACCCATGTCATCGATGACAGTACAAAAATGACATTCATTCGCTTATTTGGTCAAATCCTAGCCGAAGGAATGTTGTTCAAATTGGAAGCGTATATTTTAGGAAGAGATTAATTTTTGGGTAAGAAAGGTTTTGGTTTCTACTCCTCCATCTTTCTACAAGAGATGTAGAAATGTTCCAGAGGTAGAAAGAAAGCATTCAATTTAAAAATTGACCCTTTACAGAGATGTGTAGACCATGCAAAAAAGTAACTTTAGGACACAAAATGGAAGAAAAAAACTCCTCGAAACAGCTACAGGGGTGAGAAGTTACACGCCTTTTTACCGGGATTTTAACCTCTTTGTAGGGCATGATTGGACTCTTTTCTTATAACGTCGTGCATCGAATATAAATAATTAGTGACCCGCCAAGCGCCAAGTTGCTAGGTGGTGTGCATGTGTCTCGATTTCAACCAAGTAAGTAAAAAAATCTTTCACGAAATTTTTGATTCCGGGTATTTATATTTTTTATTTTCTCAAAATTTTTGACTTCGAAGTTCATAGTATATCTACTTATGTTTCAGAAAACAACTACTCCCCTGGCTAATACCACGAAGGGCGTTGGATTATATCCGACAGGTTTTAGTTGAGGCTTCTTCACAGGAGCAATTCTTGCATATACTTTTGGCGATACAACTGCCGGAATAGATTTTCAATTATTGGAATATACTTGCAGACTGGTTTCAGGCTATCTGGCCACTCGTCAGTGCCACTCGGTAGTGTCTATAATCAATATGAAGTCGATGATTTCCGATAATTGAAAATGGAAAAAATATATTGCGGCATATGCAGGAATAACTTCAGTGAAGAATCCTGCACTGACATCTGTCGAATATAATCCAACGCCCTTCGTGGTATTAGCCAGAGAAGTAGTTGTTTTCTGAAAGGTGTCAGTCCATTAACCCACAGTGTAGGGAGTTGAGACTCTCCTGAACGAATTGTTCCATTCGATTTATAGTCAGTCTTAAAGTATGCCCTCTGACTATATGTAAAAAATATTGATAATTTTGTTTATTCCTCTACCGTTATATCGTGCCCTGAAGATGTAACAACTAGCCCCAAATTGGAGGTGAGTTGTTACAATCGACTTTTTTTTAATGATGCATTGAAAAAAAATTACATAAATTTTAATAAGTTTTCAATCATATTTTAATAGCTGTATAGACATACTAACGATGAAGAAAATCAAATATATAAATTATTTGATAGCTTTTGTCATGTGAAGCACTGTTTGTATCCTTTGGTATAGTAGTGAGTATTAATGGAGTTTTTTCCAACACCAAACCGTTATTTTCAACACCTCGATACTTGTTTCGATCACCAAATGATCATCTTCAAGAGGAAGATCAGGCTGTATGATCTTCATTCCCAAGAAACATTAAATGTTTATGATAGAGATTTATACATGTTGACTCCAACTGGAATTTCAGAAACCATCTGGATTATAATGCTCCCAAACATCTTCTGCGATTTTCGCTGCAGCGACCTCTTTCAACCTTAGGATATTTCGAGGTATCCATTCAGTGAATATACACATACTTTCAATTCCCTTCGTGTCTATAATATCAAAAGCTTCTGATGAATCAAGAAAAGTGTTCCCACATATTTACCTTCATCTAGCGAGTCGTAGATATATTCGAAAGAATTGTATGAAGCACTTTCGGTCGACCTACCTTGACAGAAACCATGCTGATGTTTTCACGAATATCAACTGAATATTTCGTCTCATTAGTTTTTGTTCAAACTATGATAATATAAATCATTATTGTTTTTCACATTACAATCGAATGCTGATCAATTTCTTTGAATCAAAAACAAGCGAGTGATTAAAAATCTTGTAGCAACCAAACTGCTCCATTCAGTTTATTTGGTGAGACAAAACGTTTTACTACCAACTTTAACCTACCTGAAGGAAATCCAGACGGCTGTAAATAAACCATCAACTCTGAAAAGACTTCGAATAACAAGTGCTCCTCATCGAGTCTGACATCGTGGATGCGCATGTCGTCTCCCTTGGGAATTTCGAGAAACTGCAGATCTGCCGATTCACTGAAAGACGACTTCGTATTATTTCTGTATCCGATTTTGTTCTGTTTGAGTTGGGGAGTTGGCGACTCGGAGTTGGCCGTTTCTGGTTTGAGGGACTGCGACATGGTGAAGTTGGATACTCTGGAAAATAAAATTTCACTTGATTTGGTTGGAGTATATGTTTGTATACTTGGAGTTCCTGCAGTGGAAATATTCCGAAAATTGTTTGATCAAAATAGACCTTGAGTAGTTTAGATTACATGATGATGATATTTATTGATAATGAATTTATTCAATGAAATAATACATTGGTCGCAATTAAGTGGAAATGAGTTAATAAACAAGTTGCCCTACAAAAGAAATTCCAAGCAAAATAGAAAAAAACAAGACGTACATTTATATCTCTGAAAATTTATGAATTTTCTGTCTTGGTATTTTGTTTATCCAGTATTTAGGTTTTTTTTTTAATATTATTATTTTCTGTTCATTGAGAATCTCAGTATATATTTCCATTCCATATTGAAAAAATAATTATTCGTATCAAACTCTCATCGGGTTTCACAATAGCATATTTGAGCTCAGATGTATAACTTTGAGAAATGAAGGTTTTGGCTTGCTACTTCTCCAGCTTCATACAAAAAAATGTGAGAATCTTTCAAAGAAAGAAATAAAGCAATCAATTCAAAAACATAACTCAATAAAAAAATGTGTGAATGACTAAAAAAAAAGTAACTTTCAGGCAAACTGAAAAACAAAAGTCCTCTCGAAACAGCTACTTTCATATAAACATAATTTCCTATGAACCACTTGGGTGAAAGAGACATGAAGTCGTAATTTCGTTAGCGAATTAAGTGCTTTATCTAATGATACCATATAGATTGGTGCTGAAGAGGCCGTAAGGCAAGTGTCTGATGCCAAAACTTCGGATGTCCACCAGTGAGGATGACGGTGTTTCATGTAAGTGAAAGATCACCTTTCAAATCTGCTATTTTGTGTATCAATACTGTGAATGATCTCTGATTCAATTCCATATGTTCAGAATTCTAACTGAAAGGAGAAAAGTGTTTTTAGAATAATTCAGTGTTTATGTAAAAGTATTTGTTTTGAAGGTATTCTTCTTTGCATGATCAACAATTTCTGCAAAGAGCTAATTTTTTAAAATCGATTGCTGTCTTTCTTTCTTTGGAAAATTCCTACATTTTTGTTTCAAAATGGAGAAGTAGAGAGCCAAAATGTTTCTTTCGCAAGAATAACATTCGTTTCGAATATATGATCAGACCTCATCACACTTTGAGGCCATTTTGTTCAGGAGACTATCTCTTTAATTTGCTTTCAAATTATTTGAAGAAAAAAAACCGTTCAGACAATGAAATCATCTTTGAAATCGCACCTAATCATAGGCCGCTTCTATTTACTGGGCAGTTATTATTTTGAATAGTGGTTCTTCTTTCATTTTTTAGTAATCATCGAATTATATTTTTATGAACCTACTGTACATCTATGGTGAGTAATCACATGAGAAGCGAGTATTGTAGCTTACCTCATGTCATTGTGAAATATGATCAAAAAGATGAATTAAATTATCTATCTATGGATGGAGAAAAGTTGTTAACCCAGATATGCTTATTGTACTATACTTAGTACGGTCCTAGATTAGAATAAATTATGAATAAAAATTAGATTAAATTGATAATTAGAATAAAAATGATAATTATATCATAAGTCCTTTAGATATATTCATTATTCAGAAAACTGTTTTTTGTTAGGGGTGGCATTTTGGGGATGTACTAAATATAGTACATTAGGAAAATACATGTCTATGAATGTTATTTCATTTCAGAGGTTTTCCACTCAACGAAGCTCTAGCTATGTTGGAAGATGATACTGAATTAGCTGAAACAGTAGATGAAATTTTCATTTTTCCCCAGAAAATGCCACGGCTAAAGTAACAGATGAAGATTCTGGGACGGAAGATATTTTTACAATTGATAATCTACCTGCATCTCAGTTACAAGCACCAGAGGAGATTAGATCCCAAACCAAATATGATAGTATTTATCATTCATCAGAGGACGATGTTCCCTTTTTCGAATTACAAGAACGATTGCAATTATCGGATAGAAGAGAAAAAAAGTCTTTGAAAAAAAATTACGAGTGGGTCCAAAAAGATTTACCTACATCAGAAGCAAACTACGAGCATTCGCATGATATAAATAGTTCAGAGAATCCAATGGAGCTCTTCTCGAAATTATTCGATGAAGAAATAAACGAACTTTTCGTGAGTAGCCGTAATAATTATGCCCAACAACAAAATCGAACACCTAATATAAAACATTTTGAATTCAAAGCTTTCATTTGAGTTTGCTTGCTTAGTGGATACGTACAGGTGCCAAGGAGAAGAATGCATTGGGAACGTGAAAAAGATGGACATAACGATTTGGTTGCCGAAGCAATTTCAAGGGACATATTTGAATACATATTTGCCAATTTACATATGTCAGATAATCAACAATTAGACCACCATGACAAATTTGCAAAAGTGAGACCCCTAATCATTCTTCTGAATAAAAAGTTTATGGAAAACACGATTGTCGAAGAAATGCACTCAATTGATGAAGCCATGGTACCTTATTATGGACGCCATGGCTGCAAATAATTCAATCACGGAAAGCCAATGAGGTATGGCTTCAAGAAGTACAAGACTTGGTTACTTGAATTAGTTTGAACCATACCAAGGTGCGGCAACAAATATAAGTGAACGATATGCAGAGTTCGGAGTTGGCGCAATAGTGGTATTGGAATACGCACTAGCCCTGCGCAAGAAATGGACGGATAGAAAATTTCATTTCTTTTTCGACAACTTCTTTACGTCCATTCCTCTAATTGAAGATCTGATGAAAGAAAAATGTTTCGCAACTGGTACAGCAAGAGAGAACCGATTGGCAGGAAATACCCTCATAGACTCTGAAGTTCTGAAGAAAAAAAAGCGAGGAAGCTATGACAATGAGAAAATTTCAAATCAGGATATAATCGCAGTAAAGTGGCATGACAACAGCATCGTAACTCTTTGCTAGAATTTTTCAGGAGTTGAACCTCTGCATGTGGTCAAACGCTACTCGCAAAAGGAGAAGAACAATATTCAAGTAAGTATAATCAGCTTTTATCCGCAGTATTGTATGATGTATAGTTCATTTTTAGGTGGAGCAGCCACATGTCATAATCATGTATAACTCTAATATAATAATAATAATAATGATAAATGAATTTATTGACAGCTGAAATAACATGATACAATATGGAGAAAAACAAAATACAAATTTGTCAATAGGATACAAGATTGAACAGAGTTCATTCTTCCTCTTGCACCTTACAAAAAAAAAGGAAATGATGAAAAACAAAAAAAAAATAACAAAAGACCTAAAATAAAATTGGAATTGTGATAGCGGGTACAACATTTAATTCATGAGGCGGATATCGATACAAACATAAGGATACTACAAATATTTTAGCTATGGCCTACAAGAGCCATTGTGTCATAGAATATATTCGGGTATTATTGATTTTTCAGAAGGTGTTTTGTCAGGCAGTACCTGAAACTGGAAACAGATTTCGACCGAAAGGAGGGTGGTAGGTTGTTATAGAATTCAGCTATCGTATCTGTAAATGACCTTTTGAATAGTTCTATGGAGTGTCTAACAACATGGATCATTTTGTGCCTGATGTTCACATTATGAACATCAGTTCGATAAGTTATTTTGTTATAGAGGTAGGGAGGTGTTCTATTGACAATAACTTTATGAAATAATGTCGAAGAATGATGAGTCCGCCTATCGTACATTTTCAGCCACCTAGCTTTTTTGAGTGTATGAGAAATCGGTTCTCTTTTCTTGATACCGTATGAAAATCTCAAACAAGAGTTTTGAACTCTTTGAATTCGTTGTTGCTCATTTTTATTCAGGAAATAATGATACACTACGTCACAATGATTGAAAATAGATAATATCAACGAATCACAAATGAGTAATTTGGTTTTTAGGCTCAAGACATGCCTATGAGGGTATAATACTTTCATTTTCCCAAATGCTCTTTGAATCAATGTTAAAGTATGTTTTTTGAATTTGAGTTCATCATCGATACAAACTCCTAGATTTTTAACCTGATTTACAACCGGTAAAACAGTGTCATCAATTTTTATGATTAGATCTCTAAGTTTTGACCTTGCGACTTTCCTTCCAAATACAATCATAGAGCATTTGGAATTATTAACTTCCAGGGCATGTTTCCTTGATACATTAACGAATTGATTCAAATCGTCATTAATGATATTTTCGCTCTGACCAGAATATCAGCTTATATCGCACATCTCTGAGAGGAAAAATATGGTATACTCCTTTGCTTACCCACAGCATTGACATGTGCGTTCAGAATGCTTGGCAATTACATAAAAAAATGGAGGAGTCCTAGATCAGCTAAGTTTCAGAAGACGAATTGCCACAATATTACTGATTCAAAATAAAAAGCAAGCTACATACCAAAAAGGACATTCGAGTAGAGCACAAGGTATTGATTTGCGTTACGACCGGTTAGATCATCTTGTGATTCCGCAGGCAAAACAGACCCGATGTGGATACTGTCATGAGAAAACAACAAGATGTATGAAATGTGACATTGGAGTACACGTGAAATGCAACGTGATATTTCATACAGAATAATATTTTTTTTTTTCGTTGTAGTACATCTACCTGATGTACTATATGTAGTACGGTCTTGATTTTGTATTTTTTATAAAATACAAATTTTGAGAAAAATTTGATTTTTTTTGTAGCTAATGAGCTTCAATTTCATTGGAATTACTTCTTGAAAATTTCAAATAATGCTATAGGCATATCTGGGACATTTGAAATCTAAAAATCATCAAATGAATGAACTGACCCCATCACTCACCTAACTTTTATTTTCTGGAATAAATGAAAATAAGAGTACATTGGTACATAAGAACCAAATATCTAGCAGATGAACCATTTCCAAGGAAACAATTCGAATTATACCACACTATTCTTGATTTGGACATTTTCATCAATTTTTTTTCTACTTCTCTTTCTTCCTTACTCTCAAAATCACTATTTT